CCCCCCCCCCCCCCCCTCCATGCCGTTTTATGCCGTGCCCCCACCGCGCGGGCCTTCAAGCCCTCCTTCTATCGCGCATCTCCCTCCCCAGGCGCGCGCGGCGCTCATCCCGCTCATGCTCCTCGGGGCGATGATTTTCTCTCGTGCGATGTGGGCGATCGTGGACGTGTTGTCCCCCCCTGCCGCGGGGGGGAGGCTCGCCACCGCCTTGTCTGCGGTGGCCCCTCCGCCGGCTGCGGGGAACCAGACTCCCGACCGTGAGGCCGGAGGGGGAGCTACAGGTGCGTCTTCCTGCCCGGTGGGCGCTGCGAAGGCGACCGGGGCGGGGAGGGAGGCGGCCGCGGCTGCCCTAGACAAGCTCGATGCGATAACGCCGCAGCAGCGGCGGCAGCAGCAGCAGTATCGGCGGCAACGCGCGGCTTCGGAGGGCGGAGGGTTTGCTGGTTCCGGCACACCGAACCGGGGGCTGCCGCAGCAGCAGCTTTTTCGCGAGGATGGGGCGGCAGCGGCGGGCTGGAGACACTCGCCGGCGGGGGGAGGGTGGGGCTCGTCGGCGGCGGCGGTCGCACAGCCGTCCCCGCGGACCCCTAGGATTGCCCCCGGGGCAGCGTGGAACCGGGGCGGGTTCAATGCCGAGCTTGATAACGATGACGGCGACGACGACGACGATGACGATGACGGATGGGTGTCGGAGGAGGACCGCGCCGTTTCGAGAGGGTCCAGGCACTCAGGCGGCGTGCCGGAAGACGGCGGCGGCGGCGATGGCGATGGCGATGGCGAGGTTGCCGTTGTTGGGGTTCACCCTCGCCTCGTCGAGGTGGTTTCGGCAGACGATTCCCCCGCCTCCGTCGACGACAACAACGGCGGCGACGGCAACGACGAGTACGCCGACGAGCAAGCAAGCCCTGCTGCTGGTAGTCCCGGCGACGTTGGCCGTGGCGATGCCACAGCTAGGCTTGACAGGGGCGGGGCCGTCGACTTTGGGCTGGACGCTGCCCCGCAGGTCCGGAGATCTTGGAACGCCGGCGCGGTCTGGAAAGGCGAGATGCAGCAGGCGGAGCAGGCGGCTGCCGCCGCTGCGGCGACGGCGGCGGCGGCGGCTCTGCAGCGGCGGCGGGCGGCGGCGGCGGCGCGGTTCCGAGTGGGGTTGCCGGACCCCCCCCAGCCCAGCGACGAGCAGGAGGAGGAGGAAGAGGAAGAGGAAGAGGAAGAGGAAGAGGAAGAGGAAGAGGAGGAGGAGGTAGGTGGTGCCAACAGCGAGGACGGGCGTTACTCGTCTCTGCCGAGTCTGGCCTCTATAGGAGAAGAGGACGAAGATGCCGAAGAAGACGACTCATCTGACTACGACTCGGAGGGAAACAACGGCGGCGGTGGTCGGTGGCGGCAGCGGGGGCAGCGGCAGCCACGCCGAGCTCAGAGTGTTGGCGGGGTGCCGGCGGAAGCGGAAGCGGAAGGAGAAAAGCCTCTCACGGCGGACGAGTTCATCATAAAAAAGTGAGGGGGAGAAAGAGGGATGGCGCCACATATTCAACAATTTTTGTTTGTCGTTTGTGATCGGAAAGTATAGGCGTAGTTCTGAAGCCTTTGTTTTAAGGGGCTATAGGTGGGAGGAAAATGGTGGCTTGGAAAACTCCGATACAACTAAGTAAGAGGTGAATATATGTGCTGCCGCTGTAGCATTGTTCAAGGCACCAACGTGGAAGGTACCCCAATGACGGCGGTTCTACGTGTATGTTTCAAAAACGAACTAGTGTTACTGCCCTTCGAACGGTGTGGTCATTTGGTCAACGGCCGAGGCGAGCCACAGCAATATGCGTACCCCCCCCACACACACACAATCGAAACCCCTTTTTTGTTGCATTCACGTCTAGGAGAGGGGTTCTGGCCTGTACGCAGCCCCCAACGATGCTCTCAAGCCAGACCGCCAAGAATTTTTCCCGCCAATGTGTTTGAGGGTGTGGATACGCGGTGAAATATAGTCGCTAGGGAGAGCTTGCGTGGCGACGAAATTAGCGCGCTGCCGGGGTGGACATGGTGGAGGGCACGCCTCGAGCGGCAGCAGCGGTAACGGCCTCCGACAAACGCCGCGGGTCCGGCGGTTTCACGCCCGTCGTTTCGGGTTGTTTGCGACGAAGAGTCGCGAAGGCTGCTGGTTGCCTCCTTGGTGCCGTTGTGTGCTTTGCTTAGAAACAATATTTCCCCTCGCTCCGTCCCGGCATGTCAGGGATGCGAGTCCAATGGTCTAACGACTGTTACGGCATGCGTTTGCATGATTACACTCCCCTAGGGGTTGGTAGTGGTAATGGTCCGTTGCTCCTTGCTCTTCGCACGCGCCGTTGGGCCCAACCGCCGGCGTCTATTTTATTTTTTTTCGGCCGCTTTTTCTTTTCCCTCTTGTACCGATGCTGCCGCCACGCGCGTGACTGCTGTATCACCATCACCACCGAAGGCTGCTTGATGAGGGAAAGCTCGGACGGATGGAGGCTGCCCAGATGATGCTGGAGGTACGTTAACCGTGTTGTCGTTGTTGCTGCTGCTGTTGCTGCTGCTGTTGTTGTTGTTATTGTTGTTGTTGCTGTTGTAAGGTCGTTGCTGTTGTTGTTTTTGTGGTCGTCGTTGTCGTTGTTGTTGTTGTTGTTGCTGTGTATCGCTGTTGTTGGTGCTGTTGTTGTCGTTGTTGTTGCTGCTGCTTTTGTGATTGTCTGGACAAATTCGCGGAGGAAGACACACGCGCCGCAGCAGCAGCGTCGACGCCAATACCCCTCCCCATCCCCTCCTCGTCACGATGCTTTCCTTTCTTGTTCAGTTTGAGCATTCGGGCGATTCCCGAGGACGTCGGCGGCGCGGCGCCAACCAGGAGGAGGAGCAGCAGCAGCAGGAGCAGCAGCAGGTGCTGCAGCAGCTGCAGTTAGAGGAGGGGCAAGAGGATGATGGAGGAGGGGGAGAGAACGAAGATAACGACAACTCGCAACGGAAGCACGACGACGATGACGTCATGGCTCCCCCTGGCTTCCCGAAGCTCGGGACCAACGCGCAAGAAGGACCCGCTGCCGCTGCCAATGCTAACGCCAACGTCGCAGCGGTGCCGGCGGCGGGCGGCTTCCGGAGGGGAAGAGGGGGGGTTAGGGGTGCTGCCCCCTTGGGCACACCTCACAAGAGGGGCGGCGCAACTCGCACTCAAAGTGCCGGTTCGCGCTCACCTGCTGTTGGCGGCGGCGGCGGCGGCGGCGGCGGCGGCGAGAGACAGCAGCATTTGCAGGAGCAGCTGCAGCAGCAGCAGAAGGGGCAGCAGCGGGGGGTGGAGCAGGAACAACGGCACCTGGAACAGGAGAAGAAGCTGGAGAGGGCGGAGGAGGAAGAGTATGAACGCCTACAGCAGCAGCAGCAGCAAGAGCGGCAGCAGCAAGAGCAGCAGCAAGAGCAGCAGCGGCAAGAGCAACAGCTGCAGCAGCAGCAAGAGCGGCAGCAGCGGCAGCAGCAAGAGCGACAGCAGCAAGAGCAACAGCCGCAACCCGCAGCGGCAGAAGGGGAAGACGAAGAAATTTTCTCCGTCCGAAACCCTTGTCTGGACTACGACACCATGGCGCCCCCTGGGGTGTGAGAGGGGTACGTTCCTTGCCCCCATCCCACGTTTTTTTTTTGGCGTAATGTAGGCGGTGGTTGTTCTTCTGGGTTTTAACTGATGAGCGCGTGTTTTTTTTTGCGGGAGGTAGCGGAGGCGTTGTCTGCTCTGCGCGTGGCGCTGATCAGGTCATGTCGTTCAGATGTGTTGCTGTTTGCTTGGTGGTGTTTTCTAGACGCCTTTGGAGGCGTTGATTTTCACCCCTTCCGCCTACTGTAGGTGACGTATTGACGTCGAGTGAGCAGAAGTGGTGTGTGTGCCTGCCGGCCGGTAATGGGTGTGTTTTTTGAGAGGTGAAACGGCCGTTCACGTGGGACGAGTGCTTGACAAGCCGGAGTGGAGTGGTGTGGTTCCAAACAGCTCTTTTTGGCGTGCCTTCTCGCCCCAGGCATGACCGCAGTGGCCGCAGGCGTGTGGCCGCAGGCCGCATGCATGCGGAGCATAGATTCTTCACAATTAATTGCGGGTGGGTGTTCACGGTTTTCGGTAGAGCGGGAAGGTTTCAGCGCGAACGCGGGCGTGCATGTGGGGAGGGGAGGGGGGTAGCAACCGCCTTGTTCGTGCACGCCGGTGGTTCTAGAAGCAGGCCCAGCGATTTGCTTTGTTCTTGGATGATCTTTGCTCAACCTTGTCGAATTGCCTTCGCGTTGCTGTATGTGTATTTTTTATTATTTGCGTCGGTGTCCGAGGCTTTCCGCCGCCGCCACTGCTGCTGCTGCTGCTGCTGCCATGTGTAGCCGTGCAGGGCAGCAAACCCAGCCCGCCCGGCGCTCGATTAATGGTTGCCGTATACGAGAGCTAGATCTCGGGGCGTTGCGGGCGCACAGAAAACACGTTCGTTCGCCCATGTCCGTTCGCGTGCCGCCGAGCCAGTTTTGTTGTTGTTGGTGGTGATGTGGATGTTGTTGTAGCTGTCTTAATACGTTGAAGAATGTTCCGATTTGTTGTTGCTTTTGTTGTTGCTCTGTTGTTATTCTTTGCATTAAACAAAGTGTCGATATCTGCTGCTCAGTACCTCTAACACGGGTGGTATCGGTCCAACCGACACCGACGAGTTCACCAGGTTTGACCGGCTCTTTTCTTTATCGTGGGATGCAAGTAGAATATGAAATATATGAAAAACACAGAGAGGAGACGTTTTGGGGAGCTACTGCTGTGTGCGCGCATGGATTCATAGGCCACGCTTCTGTTAGAATCATGAATAGAGGGGAGGGGAGGGGAGGGATGATTTGTCGACGTGCATCCGTGTTAAGTATCATCAGGTAGCTGTTGACGGTGGGCTCTCGTATTGTCAATAGCTAACTGTCAAGGGTAGACTCTGGTTGTACAATAGATTGAATAACGGCAGCCAGCTGTCAGAAGGGCAGCAGCAGCAGCAGCAGCACCGCTCGTATCTCAATTTGTCCATACCGAGTGGTAGCAACTCGTGCTTTACGGACAATATCAACAGTGTTGCCTCTTTTAGGGAGTCCAGAAAGAGCTGTATATTTTTCGTCGTCCAGTATCCTTAGAAAAAAGGCTTCGTACAGTAGAAAAAAGTTATTTGACCAGCCCATAGTAAACGGCCTTGTTAGATGGGAAAACCCACCGAGGACATGAGTATTTTCGTCGTGTTCCTCTGGTCTTCGTAGCCTAAGCAACATGGCCTACACGGATGGATATCGTTTCCCTTGGTGTAAGGGCGGTCCATGGTTTCACTCCCGTGCGAACTAACGACATCTCCCCCAAGCGTCGCTATCTCGTCATCAACCAGGGGACGGGGGGGGGGGGAGATGGAGCGCTCCCGTTTTTTCGTGAGGCTTGAGGGCGCCACTTGGAAGTTTGATGCGGTGTTGCCTGGAAAGAGGGGGGAGTTGTAATGACGTATTAACATGGGTGAAAGAAACAACGAAGCAAGGGGAATCGAAGAGACATGGACGGAGCAGAGGGGCGAGGTTTGCGGAGGGCGTGAGAAGCCGTGTCTGCCTGTTTCTTTCGTGTTACTGTGCCCGGTTGTAGAGTCAGGGCATTTGCTTTAGCCTGTGAAGCCCTACCGAATTGAATGAACGATAGCGCCTCCCTATCGGTGATGCGAGGGGCGGGCTCGTGTCAACAAAACGTCAACGTTCTTTGTGGCGTTATTTTTCATCAACACAGCAAAGAAATGTCGTTCTTGTTGAAGCTATTACCGTAGGTTGCGTAAGATAACACACCCCCTGGGCCGATTTTCAAAGATGGATTACTCCACGACGAAGAGGATGCCGAAACTGAAGTACACGTTTTCGGAAAGCTCTCGACGAGGCGGTTCCAACGCCGCCATTCTCGACACCGTCACTGATTTTCCAGCCGAGGTACCGAGTCCCGAACATCGGTCCAGGGAGTGTGATATCTTACGCAACCTATGGCACAGCGGGTGATAAATCGCGAGGGAGATAAATCGCGAGGGAGATAAATCGCGAGACAGGCGCGATGAAATCTACCCACGGGCAAGCGCGGAGAAAAAGTCGGATCGAATTGTTTCACAACTGTTCGACAAGGCCACACGAGCCGCTGTATTTTCATAGCTGCGCACCGATAGCTGTGAAAGAGCTTCGACACACGGCCCGATGACCAGGGAGGATTGCGACGGTACAAGGCAGTTATTAAGCTGGCTGGACTTTTCAAACTCTGAGCAAATAAATGTGAGTGTGTTTGCGTCAGAAGAACGAGCCTGAAGAGGGGACCGCCGTACACACTCACTGCTACCGCAGCGTTGTGATCATCAGCCGGGACCACACACACACAGGAGGAAGTCTCCACCTGCCTCTATTCTCGTGCGGTCGCCTTCGACCTCTTTATCGCGTCAAGGGCAATTTGTTTGGCTCTCCTTTGTCATAGTGAACATGCATGGCACTCGCATCATTTTTCCTCCCTCGGAGCCTACTCACACTACCGCCTCTACACCACGAGGTCTCAAACAACGAACGGATGACCATTCTAAGAAACAAAGCGCATGTCACTGACCATTCCTCACTGCAAGCACTTCCCTCCCCCTAAAAAATCCAGACCGATGTATGTCCTCGCGCATCAAGCTGCTCTCGGAACGAACGTCCTACAGCAGAGGGGCTACACCTCCCCCATACAAACAAGCAACAGAAACGCCCAACCGACGGACTCGGCAAGTGAGTCATACATATCCCCTGCAGGTTGGCAATGGATTTCTTCAGTTTCTCTTGGCAGTCAGACCGCCGCTGACCTTTCTTGCTTCAAGGAAAAAAAAATGCGCGGCAAGCGGGTATGTAGACTAATTTGTTGACCAGACACACACGACACATACATACGACGTGATGTATCATACAACATCATCTCGTTAAAATATGGATCGCGTGCCGTTTAGCGTTTTAGACCGATCGCGTGCCTTCGCGTGTAACCCAAGTACATTACTGCTACGTATGTCGCAAATTTTGTTTGGTCCGGGCCTCTTTTTGGGTTCAATAGACAACCAACCGGCGAGTAGTATTTCGTATTTCCTCTGCCTTGCTCAAAAGATAAGATTTGAGCAATCAGCGAGCCGCGCAACCCCCGACGCCGGACGGGGACGGATGAAAGAAAATCCGGAAATTCCCACGTGAATCGTTGGTCCCCCTCCGTTCACTGCGCGCGCCAAGCTGCGCGCGCCCACTGCTGTCTTCGGTGTTTTTGCGTCTGCGGCGAAACACGTCCTTCACAGCTCGAGAAAAACAAGCACAAAAAAAAAAAAACTTCACAAGGCGGTTGTAAGCATGACGGCCGGAGTAAAAGGCGGTTCGGCACGACGAAGACCCCCCCCCAAAAAAAGCAGAGAGCAAACACATTGCCAGCCAGCGGAGGAACAAGCCGGATTGAATCGATGGAAGGACAAGGAACGACGCCACGCCATGCCACGCCATGCCATGCGCTCAGGGAAAGCGGCTTGGGGAGGCGGAGAGTTAGGCTTGAAGGGAAGGAAGGCGCCAAGGGCCCAGTGAAACTCTCTCTCCACCCAGGAAGTAACGTACAGAAGAACTTACGAAACGAAACACACAAAAAAATAAAAGTGACATCACGAAAAAAAGAAGCACGCCCGACACAAAAGTTCGGGCTTCATGGAGTGGGGGGTCGGAGAAGGTCCGGGTGATTCTGAAAACGTGCTGTGCTGTTCATTCGAACCTCTCACGGGAATCACCGTCATATTACCCGCTACTCTAGACGGCACGTCGGTGCTCCCCGCCAGAAAGAGTCGCTACTTGGTCAGCCATGGGAAACAGCATGCGACGAACAGCTATCGGATTGCTTCATTTCGCACGGCTCTTTTTGGTAAAAGTCTACCGTCACTCCTCCTTTACCTCTCCCTCTTCCAGCACACAACAAACAACAAAACACAATACGCAGAAAGACGATCAGGCAACTGAATCGGCCAGTCGAATACAGTCTTCGTTGCAAATGCATAGGCAGCAGAAAAGTTTACAGAGTTGAATACTATCGGTAGATGAAAATGAAAAGCGACCCGCCGATACTAGAGCAGAAGCCCTTCGTTCAGTACGACGAGCAGGAGCCAAATAAATATCTCCGCTCAGCCGGATTCAGGTGTACTGACTCCCAGACCCTGCCCCCCCCCCAACCCCGCGCCCTTGTTTCGTGCCTATTCACCTAGCGCTTTTCGTCTGTGGTTTTTCTCTGGTTCTCTCTTTTTTTTTTTTACCGCAGCCCAGCATTCCCGCTGTCACGCCAGTTTTAGCCCTCGGAACAACCAATTCCACCCATCCTTATTCTGGTAGCGATGCAATTGACTTCACCAGACCCCGCGCCTCACCCCGTCTGCTTGCTGTAGGAAACAATCAATCCGGCCCGAGACATGGCACGGGCGCACTCACAACGTTTTGGACATTTTCACAGCAGCAGCAAGCAGGTAGGTACTACACTCCAGGTGAAGGATACACACCCACCCTCCCCCGCCCGCCTGAAAGTCATCAGGACAACCCCACAAACATGTCATCCTATCCTCCCTTCCGCCCCCCATTCGAACAAGAATCGTGATTCTTGTTGGAACCAACGCCACACCCCAACCACCTCACGCATGGACATTCTCTCTCACACTGCTGCTAAGCACCCCACCTTGACCCGACCCACACTAGCTAGTACAGCACCAACAAACCAAGTGTTACAAAACGAAAATGAGAAATATCAAACAAGCACACACACACACACACACACACACACACACGTACAGACGTCTCCCACCCCATGGCCTCGGGAAGCTTTTGTGTTTTCAGCCGCACGGAGACTGACGTCATGACATTGGCCAGCCGGTTGAAGCGGTCGATGCTAATCATAAAAGACACACACAGATCCATCAGACAACGGGCATATTTGAGCCCC